GCTCACAAGAGCAGATAACTCTGCAATACGCAAAGACGGAATTGGTGCACAAGACGACTATAGCTTTGTACTATTTCATTTATTATTTAAAATAGAAATATTTCAGATTAAATAGTGCCAAAAACGAAAATTTGTCCAAAAGCTGTGCAAGTGTTAGAAAGCCCAATATTCCATAAATCCTTACAATAATATTATTGTAATGTAGACGTTTAAAAGTTATCGGTTATTTGCTAAACGACTGACAGTCTTTGGACGAATTTCAACGCCTGTGAAATAGCACTGAGAGCAAGATAAGCGGTTTAACCGCTGCAGAGGTCAACCCTATCTAGTCCATGACGAGGAGTAGCAGTCCTGCGATAAGTACAGACCATCACGATCACAACCTTTCCTTATCACACCGACTACCAACATGTACACACTCGCCGTTTTTGTGACAGTTCTTGGTAAATTGTTAATTATTAATTGTCGATTTATGATGTAATTATTTACTTATTGTTTAGGAAACGAGTCTTATTATTTGTGTTTATAATTATTCCGTTTTGTAGGAGCTGTCTATGGACAGTCACATCTATGTGACAGGATCTGTAACTCCCAGTATAGTCCAGTATGTGGTACTGACCGTCACACATACAGTAAGTCTTCATAGCACTTTATTGAACGCCATGTTAACATACAATCTATATCAAATTAATAGCACCCATCTTCAAATACTTGGTAGGTCCAATTATGCATTAAAGGTTAAATTCAATTGCCGATTGAATATCTTTAATCAATTTCATGTTATATTCGAATATTTGCACCTATCTACTTAAAACAAAACGATATGAGCAATTGAAATGAACATATCTTCAATTGACTTGAACATATCTTAAAAACGGTTTTTACCTATCTCTATTTTTTCAATTAATTGAAGATAAGGGCAGGTGTGGGAATATATGTTATTTTAGCGTTCCATGGTATTACGGATCCCCAAATTAACAAATATTCAAATGATTTGAGTTTCGTACAATTCAACGGAGACTTTTTCATATATGTATAGTCAAGCTCTCTTCGATTAAAATAATGATTTCTTTAAGTTAATTGAAGATGTTCCCTGTGCATTTGAAGATATCCTAAATGGGATTGAACATATATCTCGAATTTGGTTAAATATAATATTATCTTCAAATAAGTCAAACTTTCACTGTGCTTCATTTCTGTCCAATCAAATTCTTTTGAAGTTTGGACGATAACACATTCCATATTTTGCCTCATTTTCCATCATAAATCCTGTAAATCAAGCTTGTCCAAAACAATGCCACTTCGGTACCAGCACCGTTTGCTCGCTTTATCAACACCACAGAAATGGGTTTGTACACAGTGAACCTATTTCCGCATTTTTGAAAGTGTCAATGTGGCCAAAGTTGTCCTTTTTGTATCAGGGTTCTTTTTTGTCTATGTTTTTCCTGTTTTCAAGTTACTTCAATCAAGGATGCATACTCTCAGTTGTTCAACCGACACCATGCAATTGCATTAGTGTGACCTTGGTTAGTATCCTACATCATGTTTGTACAATGTAAGTTAATTTTGATAACACATTGTCCAATTATCCAACTTCAGGTAACATGTGTAAACTACAAATTGCTGAGTGTTACGCTCGCCTTAAAGGTCAGCACATGACCTTGGCCCATACCGGAAGTTGCCGCTCCACCTCGACTCAGCCTCACTCTACCCATTGTGACACAATCTGTGATGACGAAAGTGGTGATAGCGCCGTGTGCGGCAGTGACGGTATCACATACGGTAATATCATGTTTTTAACATGGCATAAAGGATATCTATCATTTAACAGAGACATTGATTTGGTAACATTTATGGAACCTGTTTAGACGTTATACAGTTGACGTTTTACTAAATATGTTAATAATAAAGGATTTAAGCAAAACGTTTGCCCCATTAAAATCACATAAGCCAAAAGGTTTTTGTCCATAACTTGAATTCCCTGATCCAGGCAATATTTTGTTTATTTCAGATTCTGTTTTAATTTACGTACGTACGTTATATCGATGCATAGATAATAATACATGCCTTCGGCCCTTGGGCTGATATTGCAGTCTCGGGTTGATACT